TGGTGAGTGAGCCCTCCCTGCCCTTTGTCTCTACCCTCCAGGCTCTTGTTTGTATTTTCTCCTCCCCATCCCTCAGGGGACGTGGTAGGGGTGAGCGAGCGGCTGCGGGGTGCTTTGTTGCCGGCTGGATGGGCTCAAACCATGACAGCAACTTTCCATAATATCAGCTTATGGATGAATGAAGCGAGTTTCCAGTCAATTCCAAAATGAAAGTATTTTCATTTGGTAGTATCAAGCTTTCGTTTTAACTCAGAATGGCAAAACGGAAGATCTGGTTCTAAAGAAAAGCTAGTATTTCAGTCTTGAAATATGTAATTTTCATGAATTTTTAAAATGTTGAATATGCTTCACTATTACGTATGAAGAGTGAGTGGATGCTTCAACATTTGATGCAAAAGGCATAAAACTGTATGAAAATGGGAGGGGAAAAAGCAATCTAAGAATTTATGAAACTTTCATAATTACTGCAGAGAAAAAGATAAAACAGAATGCGGCAAAAATCAAGTTACCTGCTTCAGAATTGTAACAGACCATAAAAAGACGACAAAATTTACATTTTTATGGGAAAATATAAAGGAACCTAAGGTAGAGTGATGTTCTGCATCCAGTGAAAAAAGGAAAATCATTTTAGAAGTTACATTTTTAGGACAGTTTCTCTTTAGATGATCAATAGCTACACACAATGGAAGACTTCTACATATACTTGGTAGCATTAATCAACTGAGAAATACCCTTCCAAAAGCTGAAAGGTTTATAGTCCAATCTTCTTATGATGATATTACGGGTCAGATTTAGACCACCTCATTTAGGTACCTCTGAAACTAAGGTGATTTGGTTCAATGGAAAGAAGCATACGCCTCTTAAGATTTTGAGATGTGAGATTCTTTCCCTATATTACGCAGACAACCTCTTCCTTTCCTTCTATTGACTATAAAGGGCATTTATGGGCTCACTTTTAAGAGGACTGGTTCACGGGGCATCTGAATTTTAATTGCATATAAGGTACTTGCAATGATGAATTAGATCATCCCCAACTTTTTAATATGAATTTAAATAAGCAAATATATATTTTAAAAATACCTAAATTTTGTTTACCTCTTTACTACACTGTACATGGAAATTAGAAAAAGTTTAGTAAAAATTAAACTATGAAGATGCAAATGAAAATAAATTACTACCATCTTACAGTCAATAAATGAGCCATCTTCTGTGCTTGTCTTGTCAATGGATCCACAATAGCAATAACATCATAGTATGGTTCATTCTGTTGGGGATCGAATTTTACTACACTGGTAAAAAAAAAAAAATTAATAAGTGACATGAAAACTCTAAACTGAATTTGTGGAAATAACAAGCATTTTTAGGCACAAATTTGCCTCATTTCAAGCAGCAGTGGTTATTGCTCCCTGTGATATCACTAGGAAAGCTAAACATGAACAGCAATTAAAAATTTAGCATTAATCTACATAGTTCCATACTGGTTATTGATTAAACACATGCCCCATAACAAAATTAACAAAATAAAAGAAGAACAAAGAGCAAAATTTTAAAAACAGCCTTTTTGTCACTAGTCTACAGTTTACTTCACCGATATCTAGAACCATCAGATTTGACAAGTGCCAGTTGTGATACAATTTTAAAAAAACAGTAGGAAACATGGCAGCTGAGAAGCGTGAAACTTGATAGATGGATTAGATTTACGCATTCCAGAAAATAACTTAGTCTGATAAACTTGATTAGACTAAGTCAAGGAGACCCTAATTAAAGTACTCTGGATCTACAGGAAGGAAATGTTAGTAAACCTTACTTAAAAAAAAAAATCATGTGCTATAAATACATGAAATGGACTATTTGAATTTGTTATCCTCAAAAAGTATCTAGAAATGTGAGGACCGTTAGCAAATCAGACTGCCTCTAATATGGTAGTAGCATAGTACTGACTCTTAGCGGTATAACTTTGGAAAAGGTGTTAGCCACTTAAAACAGGCTACTAGTGACATCCTTGTATTTTTAACAGCAGGGCCAGTCCATCGACACAGCACACTAGAGAACCTTTACCAATAAAAACAAGTAGGAATTTAGAAATAGCATTACAGAAGTTTTTATTTTGATCATATGTCCTTTTAAAAACTGTACCTGTCTGCTCCAGAAAGCTTGCCCCAGCTAAGCTTAAATTAAAACCTGCTACTGTTACTCTCCCATTACAAAGGGGACAGGATTCACAGATGCACATCTTGGTATTAGGTCTCGTTCATTAACAATGACACGCTTAGGGCATACTCACTTTCTAAACTTAGGATCAGAAACACAAGGAGCCAACCTACAAGTAAGTACACTAGTGAGAGCACACCAAGTGTAAATCTGTTAGCTGATGACAGTCTGTTCAGTTTTTCTTGAGGAATTAGGTACCAATGAACCCTATTAATTTGCATTTGAATGTAATCCTGCTAGTATTAGGTGTGTATTTAGCTGTGGTCAAGAATGACACTGCTAAGGCACAAACTGTTATAATACAGGTATAAGCATGTGTATATTAGCCTTGACAATAGTACTCAAGATCCACAAACAAAGTTGTGCTGGAGTTTTCCACATTATGAAAGTACTGTAAGTGCATTATCATGACAGACAGAACTCACCTGTGCTGTTCTTTGAGTAATTCAGCATCTTGTCTCATCTCTGTTTTAGGCAAAGATGACAGTAGGGCATCTATTTTCATAATCAAATCACTGCCACTACATTAAATAAGGCACATATAATTAGTTTTTCATTAGAAAAAGAGTAAAACATTCACATTTTAATATATGTCTGTCTGTGTAAGGGATATTTTAAAAGCCGACATCCCCAACCTGGACTCTTTAAAACAATTATCATTTGTAGCTTTAAGTAAAACCTATAGCATGACAACACCTATTACTGCCTTAGAGCTTGTGAACTGTATGCATCGTAAAATGAAGTGATACAGAATTAGCAGAATTGCCATTCAGCTTCAGCATTTCCATGGTACAATCTACTGACATTTATAACTCCTGATTCCTTTTTTTTTTTTTTCCTTCAATTTTTTTCCCTTTGTGACAACATCTAGGAACAGACATAAATGAACAAGTTTCAAGTCTACTTGGTCACATCTTTATTTTTTTTTTAAATTTCTTATTGGAATTCACTTAGAAACCTTAGTAGGCAAACAACAAACACTAAGTGCATGTAGAGTATGTATATATATGAGTATATAGTATGAAGAGTACACTATGACTATATATTTGAACCTTTGTTCATATTTCCCACTCAAAAGGACTATTAATTTGTCACAGGCAAGAAACAAGGCAGTGTATCACAAAGCCTCAAAATACAAAAGAATTTTACCTTTTACTACTGTTTCCCATCTCTTTGACAATAGCTTTAATCTTCTCCGCTGAGGTACTGTATGTTATTTTTTCCAACAAATTAAAGTCTTCTGCATAGAATTCACTTTCATCTAAAGGACCCAGTACCTTAGATAGAGAAAAAATGTTACTAAGCGTAGAATGTCCCAATAATGTTTCTTCCATAAGCAAAAATACACTAATGTCTTAAATGAATGCACGCTATTCAATATGCAACCCCCAGCCCTATATATGTCAATATTATTAACTATATAGTACTATATTATATAGTAATTAGGCAGGATTAGGTTTTTACAGTTATGTAATTACAGTTAATTATCAATCACAAAGAACAGCTGCAATTCAGACATCCATGATGTTTTGCATTACATATACCTGTGTAAAGGAGTACACTATTTAGAAATAACAAAAGTAAGTTTAAGAAAAAGCTTTGTTAGGTACATTGTTTTAAACTGAAATTCAACTTATTATCTGCCTACTGCACTCATTTAATTCTGTGAACACAAAAAGTCTCAAGGCTCCTCAGATGAAGCAGAATGGATAGAAGGGAAGAAAAGAGCAAAGGACAAGAAATGCAATATATCCAGAGATAAAAAACAGAACTACTACATTTTGTGATGTCTGAAGGCAAAGAAAGTGCCTTGAAGTCCCAGAAAATAGCTTCGGGGATGTTGTTTGGAATTCCTACTCATAGTCTACCAGGCTGAATTGACCCAAGTCAACTGCAAGAGCCTACAGGGCTCCCAGGATGTAGAAAGTCATGATGTAAGTTTGGCACTGAATGCCTCCCAAAATTCAACTGAGTCCTAGACAGGAGAGGTTATTTAACAAAATTCCGCTTTTGAATTTTTTATTAATGATGCATGAAATAGAGAAAAGCATAGCACAATTATGAAATACCATGCCACTTTTGTAGAAGTTATAATTAGAAAAAAAACATTGCTCATAAAAACAAAACTTCGGTGCTGAAATAGCAAGGATACAAATGAAGTATATCCCATGTCTTTTAAAAAAGTAATCTCTCAAAGTGGAAACACACTTTCAGATAGATGAATATACATTATCAAATTTATCCAGGTATTTTTAAGAAATGTTTTTCCTCAAAATATGACATTATTTGAGCTATGGAAAGCAGTAATAGCCATTTATAAAATAACATTGCATATTTAGCTGTGGGGGGTTGACACAAAAAAGCGAACACAATTTTTTGTGCTTCATCCACAAGAATACAGAAGCCATTTAGGATGCACAAGAGTAACTAAGAACAAAATTTAAAGAGTTTCCAGTAATGAGATGCCAACATAGTATTTCTATGTCTTTATAATCATGGAGCAATAAATAGAAAATGGAAGAGAGTTAACTAGAAGAGTAGTTTGTATAAATTGTATTTGTAATGTAAGTTTTGACTGTCATTAACAAGTACTAAATACTGAACCCAGTATTGTATTTTTTAATCACAGTTCATCTGTAGCCATGCTGTAATTAAGGCTATTGGTTTCAGAATATACATACAAGAAACTGAAACAACAAAACCACTATACTTTTATTGGAACATTAAGAATTAAGACTATAGAACAACTGAATATTTATATTGGGGTTTCAGAGCTTGAAATACTACCCTAGTCAATGTAGTTTATTTTTGATTATATATGCAGTAGTTTATCCTATCAAAAATGTGTAAAATATAGCTAATTTCAAGATCAAAATTTATTATTAAATATCATTAACACTACATAAACTATAAACCTATTTAGCAAATTTTGTCAGATTAACACTTAAATAGCTGTGGCAATGACATATGTATATCATAGCTTCCATGGAATGGAGCTAATAAACAAATCAGGAGTAAAACAAAATAAAAAACCAAGGCAAACATTCATTTTCTTTAGCTTGAAACTGAAGTTCCAAGAAGTAAAAAATGCCTACAAAAAGACTCAGAGATTACTTAATTTCTTTCTTACCCTGCCATTGCTCATAACAGCCATTTGCCCAGGAAGCAGCTTAAGAACCTCCTGGCAGAACATCTGGTGGGTTTTAATTAAATCCAGTCCCAAAGTGTTGTACTTCTTCTCAAATGCATCACCATCCATTCCCTAAAGCAAAGGTAAAGCATGAAACTGTGGAATGAGTCAGCAAAAATAAAACAGCTGAGGTAATCAAAGATTTTCTTCAAGTTACGTGGTGAACAAAAATCCACTGTTGGTGGGGAGCCACGGTCACCCAATTAACTAGTATGCATTTTTTACCCTTGGGCAACTGTGGATAACCATGAGAGGAAAGCTGAGCCTGAGGTTAAGCACTTTTTCTATGATCCAGCACACAGCTGCATGAAAAATAACATTCTCTGTTAACAACTGAACTGTATTCTCACTTTTAGGGAAAAAAGAAAAAAAAAATCCATAATACTCTAAAAACCTAACAGTCATTTTAATTGTGGACATTGGATACAACTTAATCATGTTTTGTGGAAACCAACATCATCCAGTAAGACACATAACAAATCAATGTTCAAAGTGGGGAAAAAAATGCTGGAACTTTGCCATGTTTACAATGGCACAGTACCTCACTTGTCAAAATTACCCTCTACTGATATGTTTTTCTTCATTAGAAATATACAGATCAAGCAAATAGATTCATTCAGATACAATTAATATAACAAAATAAATTAATAACACACATATACTGCTTCATTAGCTATCTTCAGAACTTATTAGACAATGAAGTAAGAGCACGACCCAAGCCAGCTAATTAATTTTCCAATATGGTGCCAGAAAGTTCTTTTAGTCTTCCAAATCTTCCTATTTAAAAATACTACAATTTATAGCTCCTTCTGAAACTGTAGTTGCACTATTATTTGATAACTCAGCTCCACTCTACATGTGAGCTTTGAAATCAGCAACGTTTGTATTTTAAACAAATGAATGTTCATAGAAACACACCAGAAAACGTTGGCCAGTATACTATGCTCATTAACCTCAACCACATCAGTCTGTGCCTATTACTGCTCACAACCACTACAGCAGGGTAAAACCAGTTACTTCCGAAGTCTTAGTTCTTGATAAACATTAATACTGAAATTTTAATCACAAGAGAGCTATAAAAAAAAAAGCGGCAATTAAAAATTAAACTATTTTGGTCTCAATAATCCAGTATCTGTACTCTATTTTTCAGTACTCCTGTATTTTCTTCTGTTGAAGAAATTCTCAATTCTTCCATCACAAAAAAGTTGTTGAAAATCCAAATCTGCTTGAGCAGAAACTGTATAAGGGTTATAAACTTCATTGCATTTGTCCAAACACTGTTACTCTCAATACCATCTCCTTACAATAAAATATATGTAAGGATTATAAAGAAAGTAGTCTAATTTAGTTTGCACTCACTGGGATGACGAATTTAGCAATTTTAGTTCCAGCAGCAAGGGATTTTGCTGTCTCTTCTTTACTGAGTTTACTCAGAAAACTTTTTAAGTTGCTGTTGTTTTGGGTTAGAAAAGCGGTCAAAATTCCCCTTGCAATGGCTGTGTTATCTTCCTTTATTTTTGATGAAGGATTGTTCAAAATCCCAACTCGTGTATGACTGCTGGTTTTCTGCAACAAAAAAATACAGAATAATACACAGTTTTACAGTTCTATCTGCTGTTACCTAATGTATTCATATCTATTATATCTCTGTGAAATGCCCTTAAGTATTTTTTTGCAGCTATTTGTCTTTAGAAAACATACATCAATTCCTAATTCAGAACTTCAACTAGGAATAAAAATATTATCAGTAAGGATTTACCTATTCTGCAATACATATTTTAAATGGAGTATTTATTTTTTAATGGAACAATTGCCTTTCAAGCATTTTGCAGAAGTGTATTTTTAACAAGGGACATACAGAAGTGTTCATTTACAAACTGCAGAACTGGTTTTGTAGATGTTTTTCTATTTTTCAAAAACTATCAAACTAAGCATAAAATAAATACAAGCAAATGTATCCACTTACCACTTCAATCTTAATCAACAGGAAAATCTTTCACTTGCTAAAATCAATGATTTTAATAGAGCAAGTGATGATAGGATCAAATAGCATCACTAACTGAAGGAAAGGTAAATGGACTCTACTGCAGTAAAGAATACAAAAATAGGTAAAGAAATCACTGGTATTCCACACATTTAAATTTAAACAGCAAACTTTAAATTGCAGCCCTTGAGAAAAGTTATTTAAAACACTTATTTGAAAAGCTTGAAAATGTGTACTTTAAACTGCTCCCGAGAAGCATGCTCTTGCTGGAAAGACAATGGGCAGCATATCAGGCTACATTAGGAGACCCATGACAAGCCAATCAAGAGAAGTTCTTGTACTCCTCTACTCAGTACTTGTGAGGCTGCACTTGAACTGCTGTGGCTGGTGCCGGTCCCCCCCAGTGCAGTAAGGATGTTAAGATGCTGGAGAGGCTTCACCAAAGGGCTACCAAGATGGTCAGAGACCTACGAGGGGGCATTGAAGAAGCTGGGCTTGCTCAGCCTGGCAAAGAGGAGGCTACGGAGAACCCTAATAGCAACCAACAACTACTGAAGGGGGAGTGAAAAACATGACAGGCCAAACTCTTCCTGGTAGCAGCAAAGAGTATAACAAGGGGTAACGGTCACAACTTTTGGCCTGGCAGGAAAAACTACACTAGGAAGGCAGGGCAACACCAGAACAAATTGTCAAAGGAGGGGACGGAGTTGCCTCCTTGGAGATTTTCAGGACTCCTTCAGACAAACCTACAGTTGACCTGATCTAATGATGGCAATAATCCCACTTTGAGTGGGAGGCTGAACTAGATGACCTCTAGAGGTCTCTTCCAGCTAAGACATCTCTAGTTTTTTCAAATAAAGTAAAAAGATATTAGTAGTTTTCAAAATATTATATATTAGCTGGAATAGTTAAAAGTGAGTTCCCTTCAGTCACTTCCATTCCCAGATTCTTGCATGCTTTTCTTCAAATGCCAATAGCAAGTCATGTGCAAGAGCTGTCTGTGACAGTTCTGCAGATATGCTACTAGACCCTGACCTGACAGACAAAAGAGACTGGAAAGAAGTAGAGAACCTCCATACAAATCAATGGACTTTAAAAAATACTATGTCTTTGTCTTGTCATGAAGCTCAGAAATCACCAGACCAAGCAGTACATGAGGTTTATCTAAATCAAGTCTATGAATTAGAATTAAGATAGCAAATTAAACTGCTATTTCACAGAAGATCCAACAAATGTTATTCAGAATGGCTTTCTCTAATGTTTTTCCTAGATTCTCCTCACTAACACATGGGAATTTGCCCAGACAGTTCTCACTTCCCAGTTGGGAGCTATGGCATATTTGTCCCGCTGAAGGGGGGTGGGGTGGGGTGGGGTGTGAATGAAACTATGGAGGGAACACATCTGCCAAGCTTGGGTCACAGGTCTAGCAGTCAGATAAAGGAAATGTTTTTCTGTAATGAGGACTTGTACTGCACATTTCTCTTTGCTTAAAAGCCTCTTTTTAAGACATATTTGGTATCACAGGCTCCTGCAACATACCAATGTTGTAATTCCCTTAGGGTAGTTCCTGTTTCATTCCCAATCACTACATCTAAATGTTTTCCCAATCTCAGTCTAATTACTCTTCTAACCTCCACAGAACTGAGGGGGCTTTTGTCATTTATATTCACATGACATTTACTTGTACACTTTAAATCCTATTATTAATACTGAAGAACTTAAAAATAAGCAAACTCATAAATGTGGATACTCCTCCCAGCATAATAAAATACAAAAAAATACTTAATCTGTCTCAGAAGCATACAAAAGGTATGTGGAAAAATGGTCACTTCATGGCCACGGCTATGCCATATGATACAGGAGAACACTGCATAATGGTTCACATGGACAATTATTATCCTAACTTCCCTGACTCAGGTAACATGCTAGGTTACCTCACGGAAGAAGGTCTGTAATTGGGAAGAAATTCACCCTTTTAAGGTACAGCAACATAGTTTGTCTCCAGCATCAGGAGTCCATGAACCAAACGATCATTTCACAGGCCTGTAAGATGCCAGTAAAGCAAAATGAAAGCACAGGCTCATACGTCTGCACCTGACCCACAAAAAAATATTGTTATACCTTTATTTAAGAGTGTAATTTTTGAATGCACACAGTATTGTTACAAACAGATTAGTAATAATTATTTTAATAAAAACTGCTATAAACTCACCAGGTGTTTCAAGGCATTAGAAAGCAATCGTCTCCCAGATGGCTTATCGAAATCAGCAATAATCCAGACAGTAACAGCATATAATGCATCTTCATCTGAAAATTAAAGGTAATCCTGCTTTACATTCTGGAGAATCTTCTCCTGAGTAATGAATAATGAATTAATTCTGTCTGAAATTTTCAAGTTTATGTGTATGTTTGACTTCTGACTTCAACTGTAAGACTAATTTTTTGCCACATCAGAATTCTTTGCCCTCTGAACTGAAATAAAATTCTTAGGAGGTAATTTATCATGTTAATAAGAGAGAGTTGCTGAAATAGCCAATCTATTATTGTACCACTGAAACAAGATGGCCCTAAATCATAAGGCAGCTCCAATTAACCAGACCTGCTTTACCAGACATTTCTTGTGAACATTTGATGAAGACTGGTCATATAGGCAGAAATGAAAAGAACTAAGTCGTTACAAGAACGATTCACCTTCCCTGGCAGCAAAGGGAGAGTTCTTCAACCAAATGCAGGACAAAACTTACAATTCCTGGACACAAACGGGAATATACCAAATACAGTCCAAAGAAAGTAAACTACTGTACAGGTGTATATGCAGAAAATTTTCCTGGTCTATAGCCTCCTGTTCTTTATTCTTCACAGAAAGGCAATGGTACATGAAAAATTCTGCAAAGTTATCTGTAGAAGAATATCAGTCTACTCAGGTCTACCATATATCCCCTAAAAGGTAGTATCTATAGATGAGAATTTTACAAGGTTGTGGTGAGATTCTAGGAACAATTTATTAAGTGTTGCTGTGGTCTAGAGAAACACACTGGGGACAGATTTGAAATGTACATTGCAGCTTAAAGGCTACAGGTTTTACACAAGAGATCCGAATCTTAGAAATGAGCCTACAGATTGAAAGCCAGTCGTCATTTGACAACCAGCTGGGATGTCCCTGTGGTTGTAGCCAGAGAATCAAATAGAGTCAAACAATTTTATGCTAAAGAAATGTAAGTATATGGCATTTCTTTCTGATAACTGAATAAGTAAAAACTTATGTTAATACCACATAAAAATTACTGAAAGAATAGCACTTTATTAACAGGATTATCAGTCCTTTGATGGACTGATGTAAATGAGTGGTTGTTAGCTGTCTACTCCTAGAAGGTAACAAGGTACACACTATTGCAAAATGCCATGCAGTATTATGCCCCTGTTGTTGTAACTGTAAATTCTTTTGACTCCAAGGGAAGTACTTGCATATGCAATAGAATATTTTACATTAAAAAAAAAAAAAGTACAAAAAAGGGTGTGTTTCAGCAAGATAAAAATGTATAAATGGATGATAATCCACCAGAATATTTTTTTTCTTTTCTACAGAAAGACAAAGCTTCAGGTATCAAAATTAAAAAATCTAACTAGAAGAAAAATAAAAGAGATACTGAATGCTAATAAATATGAAATAAATCAATTATTCCTTAAATTGTAGAAATGCCTAATTTTGATATAGATATTACAAAGACTATACATTCTTCACTTGATAATGCTGCAACTAAGAGTCACTTGAAAACTGAGTATACTTTAATATCCTCAAGTAAAACCATATTAGTGTGAAAACAGAATCTGTTTTTGAAGCTGCAAACATCTTGCAAAGCTTTTCAACTTCACATCTTTAAACCAAAAAACAACTAGCCACAACATCCATCCCATTTCAAAACTACAAAACCTAAAATAACCTGTTAATTATAATTTATGTTTATAATATAAGGATATGATCTGGCTCCTGAAAGAAGGTACTGGGATATTCAGAAATTTATTTATTTATATGGGATCCTTGGGATATTTATTTACTTGGGATATGTTACTGGCAAATTTCAACAATTTGTAATAGTCATATATATATAGGTATAACCCATATAGAAAATGAATGTACCCTTTTTTGTTAAATACTTCATGTTGTCTGAAATCACAGCACTTTTATCTTGTGAGTCCAAAAAGGAGAAAGTAGAGAAATCTTCCACATCAAATGGAACTGCAAAATGTAAACCACAACATGTTAAGTCTTAAAAAAAAAAAGGAAAATCATAACAACAGCCAATCCAAGAAAAGTAGTTACCAGATGTGGATCTGAAACGTATGTATCTTCTTTCTGCTCCAAGAATACTGGGGTTTATACGGGAAACTACATTGTGCTGATCCATAAGAAAATCCATTGCATTTATGTGATCGTTTAACAAACCCTGTAGTAAGAGAAAAAAATTAAATCTGTACTTTTATAGTTTCAAGACAAAGAAAGATCAAGTACTTATACAATCTTTCAGCTGAGCTTAAAGCTTCTATATAGGCCAAGTTATGGACAATGTCAAGTCAAAAAAGGTATAAATATCACACAGATAGTATTTCAAAATATCAGATATACACTTTTCAATTAACTACTGCATTGTTGTTGTAGATTCTCAGTTTCTGGTTAAAAAATTCCATCTAATTACTATATGCTTAGTTGATCCTTCAATCTTATATAATCTAAATACACTGTTTCAAAACCATGACTGAAATTAATGTAACAATGCAATTTCAGTTGCGAAATTATCAATTTCAGGCCACCTCGTTATAAAAAAATTAATATAAAACCATGACTCAACTCACTACCAAATATTTCATCTTGCATTCATTCAGAAATGTTAAACATACCATGAGCACTGCCCTCTGGAAGAACCCGGTGGCATCAATAATCCTCTGAAGAATAACTGTTTCAAACTCTGCAGCATCCATCTCTTCTCTGCTAAAGGGCACGCCATTAAACAGAGCTTGAGGCAACGGACCCAGGCCAGCCTTTTTATAAAAGGTCGCTCCTGCCTGATCATATCAGAAATATCACAGGATTAAATAGACTGTGGCTGACTGTAGCAAAAAATGAAACTAATATCAAGAGACAATGAACTGTGATCTCCAAGCACTATTCACTGTCACACCTTCTCATGAGTAGCAGAGACAAAACAGGAAAAGTTTGGAAATGAAACAGAATGCATGGGACTCCCCACACTCTTAAGCAGAACGACAAAAGAAATTATAGCTCTATATATGGTGTTTTAAACTTTTGCTTTACCATCTTGCCGAGAAATAATATTTTCCTTAACATTCTTAGCAAAAAATATTAAGTAAATAACATTGGAGAAGGACCTTAGGACAGTCATAGTTCCAGGTGGATTGACCTAGACCTTTCCCCCAAAGGAAGCATCCCCAAAAAAAAAACCTCAAAAGGCTTCTATGTTCAGAAGCCAAGCCTTATTTGCTAAGAAAGCAGGACAAGCTATTTTATCCTCAGACAGAAAATTCAGTGAGACAAATAGAAACAAAAATGTACTATAAGTAATTCTTCCTATTCTGCATCCTTTCCTGTTTTCTTTCAGTGTCACTTTCTGGATGACTGACTACAAACTCTACAGCAATGTCTATGTGTCCATCTTTCTGTCATCCCACTGTCTCCTCCCTGATCTTCGTCACAGTCTCATTGTCCTTGCTTGTACAGGGGGCTTCCTCCTGGTGGCTGTCTGTCTATCGTTATTCCTTTAATATCCTCTCTGGGAAGACTTCCTCCCCTAAACGTATCCAGCTGTTTCCAGGGCAGATTCAAAGTGTCCTTTTATACTAAGCCTCCATGCAACTCAGTGAGGAACAAGCAGCATAAGGTAAACAGCACCTATTTTCTGGCTGCCCAGATGCACCTTTTTAAAGGAACATGTGTTATATAACAAATTTTAAAAAGAAATAAATAAAATGGTGTCCTGGTTCGGGCTAAACCAGAACTAATTCTGTTTTAGTGCTTTTACTTTTCAGTTAAGTCTTCTAAGTAACTGCACTTTCTGGAACAGCAGCACGTTTTTCCAGACAGTGACTGCTTCTAGCAGTGATAAGGCCTGAAGTTTATAGTTCGTACCAAGGAACAGTATGCAGAGAGGCCCTTGCTTCTACTTGTTCTTGTAGTGACCAAGGTCACTGCTAAATCTTGTACTCCGTGTTGGGGTGCCATAAGTAAAAAAGGGTTGCAAGCCCGTAAAAGGTCACAACTGCAGGGAGGAGCGAACCGGACAGGTGACCCAAACCTGACCAACAGAGTATTCCATCCCATATACGTCATATTCAGTGTAAAGCTAAGGGATCAAGAAGGTCAATCTCTCTTTTTCGATGGTCAACATCTGAGGAGGACTCTGTCTGTTCTTCTGTCGTCGATCCCAATTCGTGCATCCCTGACTCCAGTGCCTAAGTCCAGCTCCTGCATCCCGTCCCTGTCTGCTGCCGAGTCCAGCCTGGGACTGCCCCAGTGCCAGCCCTGCGGTGTCAGTGGTGACGTATCATCATCAGGGTGGGGGGAGTTGGGTTTGGTATTGGTGTTGTATCTATTTATGTATATTTCCTTATTGTCATCTTTTCTTTTCTTGTTATTGTTTCATTAAAGCTGTTTCAGTTTTCTTTTCCAAACCGCGAAGTCTCTCTCCCTTGTTCTCTCTCCCTTCCCCTTTTGGGAGGGGAGAGGGGTTAGTAGAGAGCGTCTGTCATTTGTTGGTGGCCGGCCCAGCCTCAACCCGTGACAAACGGCTTGTGTGTGTCAGAAACACAAGATTGTACAGATGACATGGCTGAAGACTCAAGAAGGAAAATGGTATTTTTATATATATATTAGCAGAAGATTTTCTACATAATCAATTATAGCTAAAAATATGTCTTCTCTAGAGCCTTAAATCAAAATCCATAGCTGTCTTTCCCAAAGGAAATTATAACCAGAAAGCACAATTAAAGGAAATGATTCGCCTACAAGACAGGCTTCAGCTCTTCACCTAGCAGACACAGGTGAACAGTTTTTGCAGTGCAAGAGACCCCTTGACGTGCTTATTAGAAAAACTTTCCTTCTGAATGCAGCAGGCAATAGTAAATTTTAATAGTGAGAGTAGTAATGCAGAAACCCTTTCAACATTTCCACTAATGACAGAATGGCAGCTGAAGAAAAATTTGACTCAAAGACACTGTATTTACTTGCTTCAACATTTAGCAATCTTTCAGCTTAGCAAACGCAATAAATCGTGTACTGCAGTATTTCTTGCCAGTTTACTCTCAACATACCTTCCTCCCTTCATCGTATTCAGAATGAACATCTAGTATACTCTGAATATCAGCGTGTGGGTATTCACTTCTAAGAACATCTTTCACATGATTTACTGTTAGAACTCTTCCGTCTTTCACTTCATGGTACATCTGTAAAAATTGTAACAGAGAGAAAATCTAAAATGTAATAAATTGTCAATAATAATTTAATAAAATTAGTAAATAATCACTAAAGTAAATTAATCTTTTTATGGTGTTCTAGTAAATTTTATATCTGTATATCGTTATATTGCTTTTATTGCTATATTGCAGGTTTTATATCGCTTTAGTAATTATCACCATTGCACATGCACACAGTTTTTGATTGAGCACTGTTCTGATTAATCTATTATTATACCTTTAGTCTAAACCTGAAGTGGCAAAGGAAACACACTTATGTGAGCTGAATGTGAAAGGTTTTTTCTCTTCACTGATTAGAGAAGGAATCGAAATTCTTACTACCAACTACCTAACCATGGGTAGTTAACTGAATCTATATGGGATGAAACCAAGCCTAAATTAGTCAGTTATAATTTTTCCTACAGTGATAATTTTTCCTTACCAATGCTATTTTATTTCATAGCATAAGATTTTATTACTTTAATCAAACATACAAAACAAATTTGAAGCGAAAATTACTCAATCAATTTCTTTTCAAATGAGGAACAATACATTTCTCTCTATAGATCTGAGTATCTCAAACCTGTATTTTATTGATTCTATTTTTGTTATCTTTCAATTATATTTATCATCCTCTCCTTTTTATATTATGAAACAAAGTAGAGGAACACAACATTTTAGAAAGCACACTGTAAATGGATATTTTGTGATCTGGTCATGGATAACAGTCACGCATGCGTGTCAGCTCCTAACACTTGCAGATTTCTATTTCTCTTCCAAGAAACTCCTAGTTACTCCAATTCCTTTCATCTTAAGCTCTCTAAGTGTGTCCATGACATTAGTTTCTAGGCACTGAACAGAACAGTAGAAAACAAAAAGTGTTATGTATTAATACCGTATTCTCTGATACAATTTTGCCTGCAGAGTCTTCACATAGACTGCTCACTTTATTTCCCTCCATTCATCTTTTGCCCCTGAAATTCTCACAAGAAAACTTGCCTCATTCACTGAGCTGCAAGCCTGGAATATTTCTATGTTGTTTACACCAATGAACAGCTCAAGCACGACCAAGAAAGAACTTATCTCACTCTGTTTCCATTTCTACACTAGAGAACAACAAAGGATTTTTCAAAGCTTACAGGATTGCAAAGGTGATATTAAAATGCCAGTACTCCAAGAGATACAGAACACAAAGACAGGGATATCACATTAACATAAATAACACAGAATCATTCTCACAAGAAAATACTAAAAGCTATAAGGCATGCATCTACCTTTTTACATTCTTGAAGAAAGCCTGTAGACAGGTAAAATGACAAGAGCAAGTTGGTTTCCGGAGGAGGAAAGTATTTCTGCAAATATTCTATAGCATATTAATGCTATACATGTTTTTAATACTTTACTTCCATGTAAAGTAAATGCAAATGTATCATGTTGTCACAAGGCAGCAAAATCTTAACTATATAGAGAAGTAATAAGTAAAAAAAGGTGATTTCTTGTGAAAGAACTAACATTAATTATTGAGGTAAATGCTTGAGAAGTGTCAGATTCCTCTGCAATGTAATTAAAAGTTCTCCAAAGAGCTATTCCAGCATCTTCATTTCCATCAATTTCTTCTTTTGTACTTAAAATGAAAACAAATCCAATTCTATAAACAAACAAAAAGAGATCATACATTTTAAAACACTATCAGTTTCACACACATTCTAATACTGACACAGAAAAACAAGATGTTTGCATTCAAGTTATCTGTCCAGCATGTAGGGCTGAAAACACCTGTACCTAGGTGGTGTTGCCATGACTGTGTAGTGACACAGGATATCAGCTATGCAGTCTTCATCAGATCTCCTAGATTATGCTTAGGTTACCAACGGTGTACTGATTTTGGATACGCCTTTTCTACTATTTAAAGCAGACAGTAATTAAGATTCTGTGAGTCATTAGGATTTACTCAGAGTCCTTTCTCTCCTCACCCGTCTGAAGGTTATGACATTCGTTACATTCCTGCCATCACCTCTTAACGGCTCGAGTCTTTGTTTTAGTCTGGGCATTATCTTTTTTTTTTTTTTTTTCTTGAATGGGTGTTTTGAGTAGCTGCACATAGACATGCTGGGGTCTTGATGTCCTGTCATCAATACATGCTACTCCTACTAGCCCTTCTCTTGCTTTTTTTTACACTCTGGGGCTTCCCCACCCTCACATTTCCATTCATTCTCCACTTGCATCAATTTTAACACATCTACTACAATTCCCTACATTTCCATTAAATTAAAAAAGCCCTAGAAATATGAAGCTTGAGCAGAAAAAAGGCCCAGAAAACTCCTACTGGAAGCGGTATTTTGATACTGTTTTCATGAAAAGAAACCTGGATTGACCAGGCCATACTATCTTTACAGCATAAAGTGTCACAGATCTGGTGTTCTACAAAAGTAGGGGAATTTCAAATCTTACAGGCACTTGTTTGTCTATACAAAACATTTTGATTAAATTAAGCATCATCATTTACACACATAATTCATTTAGTCGTTACTGAAAGGTTTGGCACATGGTCCAGAAAGCCCACAAGTCCAAGATATTGATGTGAAGATCCCGTTTCTCCAGGGAACAAAGGCTTTGAGCAATGAGACAGTCTGGTCAGACAGACTGCAAATAGCAGCACAATGACTAAAGCACAAAGTCTTCACAGACTGAAGACCTAAGAGAGTTAAAACTGAAGATACTCCCTGCTGAGAACACATAAGGATCCTTCTGGTCACTACACTACCTCTTTCCCCCCGAGAGGGGCAGGGAATGGGGGTCACAGTCCGT